ATTTTGTCAATCTTACTAGCACTTAGATTTTTATAAAGATCTTAATGTTAGTGAGATTGACAAAATTGATGCAGTTTATGGTTACAACTGTAGTTGATAGTTATAACCCCGGTTGAAAGTTATAACTATAGTTGATAGTTATAACTCTAGTTATAACTGTTTCAACTTTTCACCGATTTTGTCAACTATCAACTTTTTAAAAAATAGCTTTAACTCCCACACTGATATTAACTAGAAGAAAAGATAAACTCGGATGAGGGTGTGAATGACATACTTTATCAACACAGACAGACACTCACACACTAATTTTTTTATTAAAGAATCTTAAGAAATGCAAAATATTTTATTCTATTAAAAGAATTTCAAACAGAATTCTCTTTTTTTTTAATTTTCATTCTTTTTCTGATTTAAAACTATGAGACAGATTTCGATTAAAAAGAACAAGAACAAATTTAAGAAGTATACAATTATTGTTGCTGAAGAAAATAAACAAAGACAGAAATCAAATCAACTCGGGTGTGTGTGTAGTTGTGTGTTTGAGTTGGACACGAAACATCCACACTTTCCAAAGATGATGGAAGAGACGTGAACAATCATCAGAAACATCTGAGTCCTCCCTAGAATAAAATGAACCGATTCTTTATCAAGTCGAGAGGATAGATTTCATTTCAGTTTTACACAAGATCAAATGTGGATCAACGACAATGAATATAACATCAATCTGTAGTTATTCACTTCTCAGATATCAATAAAATAATTATCAAAATCACTTTTTTATCGTTCTTTTTTTCGGATTATTCGGCGAATCTCCAGAAAAGATTTTTTGGAAATTCAAATTATTTTTATTTTTTTTTGAGGATGAGTGTGAGTGTTGGTATTATATCTATGTTTCTCCACATTCACTATCACCCACATCCTATTTACAATTTTTATAATAATTTACAAAATTACTAAAACAAAATCATAGCAGATGAATGTTGATCATCTGATCAGTTATAATCAAACTTCTCTGACTGTTATTTCTTTTAGACAAGAAAATAGTCATATGAAACTATAAGAACATAAAAATAAAAGTTGACTTTTTTTATGTTTCTTTAATAAGTTGTGTATAAGGAACGATTTGTTACAGCAAAAATATTAAGTAAATATAGATCTGTTTGAGTGCTATTTTCTTTTACCTTTGCTAATTAAACAATGTCATATAAGTGATGATGTTTTTAAACTCTCACTCAAGAAAAATCATGATTTTACTTGTAATGAAAGAACGAAGAAAACGAATCATTGATACAAACAAGAATAAATGGTAGAATAAAGTGTTGATGGGATGAGAATCATAGATATACAAATCTTTTCTTATAACGAACATTGACAAAAGAAATCTCTCAATATATTTAAGCAAATAAATTCATTGATATAAAAGGAATGTAATTTTTGATTCAAGGACACGAACAAGTGTTAAAAGAAACAGTTTTATGTTCTTTCAACTAGAATAAAAACGTAGGAATTAATGAAAAATCACTCACGCTGTGTCTATTTTATATTCTCACTGAGCATAGAAACAACAATACAACCTATATAAATCATTCATACGACAAACTACACGATTACCTAATTATTCATGTGGTGAAAATAATACTTCTATTATATTCAACTTGAAATCTAACATTAAACTATTCTTTACAACAATGTAATATAAAACTTAAATAATATTAAAAATATATGACAATACTACACAAGCAACATGTTTATCATTGCTACCAACAAATATATGTGAAAAAGGTACGAATACATATTGTTGACATTTAATTCAGACTTCATCGAAATTAATTAGAACAATGCATTTTAGTCATAGTTGTAAATAAAGTATATTATCTATTGGTATAAAAATTCTGTTGAGCGATACTTTTGTTGCTGTGAAGATTAAATTCATTATCAATTAAGAAGAGAGATGAAGCGTGTTGAAGTTTTTAGTTTAGTTAATGAATGACGCATTAATACAATTTTATATATTATTGAGTTGGTAGCAGAAGGGATTATAGTTTTATCATAATTCAATGTTGTTTGTTTCTATTGTATCTGAGTTGATACATTTTGTACCATTGTTTTCATGTTTACATTTGTTGGATAAAATAACAAGATAATATAAATGAATGGATTGAGGTATCAGAATCGTTACATCAGGTCATCTGAAGTAAAATTTATATTTTACTTGATTTCATATTCACATTTATTCTTACCTTTTCTATTGCTATTGCTATTGCTATTCTAGTAATATTAATTTATAGTTACGTTAGGTATAATTTAAGATTGATGAATTGTTTGAGATGAAATTTGGGGACAGAGTATATGTAAAGGTGAATCAGTGTTGATACAGACGCTCATATTAATATTGTATGCTTAACAGTTATCTCATCTGTTTTGCTTTGATTAATGAAATGATTGAGTGAACTATGAATCGGATATCAAACAGTCTCTTTATATTTTAAATTAATCTTTCATCATATGATGTTTGAAATATTTGTAAAGGTTTGCTTTGTCTATGATAGTGTTCATTCCATAAGAAGATGCGAGTAATGGATTGACGAAAAATTGTTGTTGTGTCAATAAATTTAAGTAGACTATTTGATTAGATATTATACATCACTAAGAACATAATTTATATAAATTACTGAAGAGCTGTTAATAACTTCGAGATGAACCACTCGTTTTTTTTCACGAGCTCATGTTTTACATCAGCTCTATTAATGAATGCTACACAGCTCATTTATCACTTATAAGAAGTCGGCAATGTAAAAATTAATTGCGTCGAGTCTACTACGTATTGGTCGATTTTGTAAATCTATGTAATTAGTTTTTTTCCATATAAATGATGAAGCCAATTATTTTATCTCATTCTATTCGCCATACAACTCATTCTCTCCATCATGCTATGGATCATTTTTTTCTCTTTCCTTTTGTGAATGTGGGTATAATATGATGACAATATCCGCACTCCATCCACTATCAGGATAGTTTGGACTAGAACTATATTTAAAATATATAAATCTAACTGCCATAGTTCATAGAAAATTTAGTATACAATATATGATTTTTTCATATATCGTATAAATAAGTTTTTGTCAATAGTTAGTATCGTTCTAAGGAGAAAATGATTTCCTTAATCATTTGAAACAATTTTTGTCTAAGAAAAAGCTGTATTAGATGAATCATCATCGATATCTAAATATTCATTCTGCTCATAAAGTATGACGTAACATTTTTAATGTCTGAGATACACTTTAGTTAAACTTACTATTTATGACAGATAATTATTTGTCAGTTATATATATATATGTATTATATTTTTTTCTCCTATGTTTAGTCATTTTTATTACACTCTTATTAATTGCCCTGATATATTTGATAGAAAAATTCATTTATTTTGAATCTATTTATTAATGTTATAGAACAAACAAGTTCATCATTTTTTCAAAGAAAAAAAATAATCATAATTCTTTATGTAGCTGTTACACTAGTCACATAATGACACTATACTTTTATTAAAGTGACGAAGATAAATGTGATACGTCATCATTAGAGATTCTTTTTTTTTTCACTTAATATTAATCCTCGCAACTGATGAGAGAAACAGAATGCGTCTGCTCTTGCGTAAAATTTTTAATTACGATGCAAAGCAAAGCAATTCTGTAATCCTGCGCAAGTTTCCTTTCTTTTCTTTTTCTTTTTTTTTACTTTCTCGACGGACGCATTAAAATTTATCATTTTACACCACGATAATCTTTGCAACAGAACATTAAAAAATACTTGTTTAAACGCGACGTGAATATACTAAGATCGGACGGATATTGTTATTTCAATTTTGAGAATAGGTCGTTTAGTTCATTTCACCTGTATTTAGACAGTATATAAATATGATTGCATTCAAGAATAATCATGATTTCGTAGTTGAATGAAATTCATGTATTTCATTATTATTTGAGTTCATGTTTCACTTATTGTTTTATTCTAGATTATTTGAATATCTATGGCGTTTGCATCGCTCAATATTCGTATGTTAATTATTCTATTTATTTTAATTCTATTTATTGTGTTATCTCTCTACATAAATATTAACTGCACGTTCGTAACGACTACTTTGAATAGTCATACCTCGTATTCTTCTCAGTCTAGTAATATTTCTCGTCAAGCAAATGGTTGGAAACCTGTTGGACATACTCTTGATGAACAAAATTTACTTCGTGATATGTCTATTATTGTTGCTGCCTGGCCTGAAAATGCTGAAGATAATATACCTACAGTACCATGTTTATCAGCCGATGGTCATTTGCTTGTGTTAAGTGTTGCTGCAAGTCGTATACGTTATGGAGTAAGTTTAACTTTCGTCGCAGTTTATCCAACTGATATGAAAAGTGTTTTACCAAAAAATATTTCAACTGATCCACTCTCGTCAAATCAACAGAGTTTGTGGTGTATATTTAGTGATGGATCAGTGACACCTGTATATACTTATGATTCTCAATATATAAGTGAACGGATATCTCTTTTGGATTGTCCACTTAGTCAATTTGCTAATGATCAGTTATGGAGATTAAACCAAACAATACGAGTCTATCTTGCATCAACAACAACAAAAGATAGAAAAATACCTGTACTCAAAGCATTTGTAAAAGCTCCAGTAGTTTCTGTCCGTTCATCAAATTCCAGTCAAGAATCTTTTACA